GAGACCAGAAAACACAAGTACTTATTCCATGATGTGATGGAGGCTTCATAGATTGGGTAGTCTAGACATCAAGCCCTTTCAATGAAGCCTTTATGTTTTACTGAAGTCCATTGGTAGGGCAGTCTTAGGTTTCACTCAAATTTAAGTTTGAGAGAAAAAGCCTTTCTTGTAAAATATTTAAACATACAAGAAAGTACTAAAAAAAGATAAAGAAAGAGTTTGCAAAACTTGCTTTATTGCATGAGGTAGAGAAGCCTGGGCCTATACTCTTGGAGCAGGGTCTCTATTCTCCCATATCCACTGTGCTCTACCTTGTAGCTTTGTTACTGATGTTACATAGAATGGCATCTCAGTGATACTTAACTTTTCAATAACAATACTGGATACAGAAGACAACAGGAAGCATCTTTCACAATATTAAGGACTATGATTTGTACCTTAATCTGTGCTATCCTGATAACCAATCAAGTGCAGACACAGAATTGAATGGCAGCATCAGGTACAGAAAGTCTTGAAGAATTTACCTCCACTCACGTTTAACAGAAAGCAACTGGTGAAATTCATCTGCCAAATAAGGGATGCTATTTTGTTAAAGAAAACATTAAGGACTTGAAATGTGGGGAAGAGGGGCTTTTATGGAGCAGAGAGAAGAGGGAAAAAAGAATGTCTTGGTGAGGGTAAAGGAAATCTCAGGGAACAGGAATCTGGGTCAATACTGGAAAACAGAAATGGAAACATTACCTGATGCTTTTCCATGTGGAAAACTGTCTAAAAGGTATTTTATAGGGAAATAAAAGATTGTGAGAAAACTTAGATATTTAAAGAAGATCAAGGAGTTGAGAATATGAGGCTATCTTTAACTCCAGAAAAAAAACCAAAAAGTCAAACCAAAGTTCTTAGTTTACTCAGCATGATTCATGTGCTCTCTTAACTTCTAAATGTGATTATTTTCACAAAATATATTAAACTCCTTTGATTCCATAGGAGCTAAAACACTAGAATAAAAAACCAAACCATGCAAAGTGGCTGCTTCTAGGTGACAAGGAAGTTACACAAAAAATTGAGGTCCCCCCCCCATGGTAAGTGTTAGGAAGAAAGAAAAACTAGGCAGCTTCATCAATGGGAGCTGATAATGAAATTTCCCTTCAGAATGAGCTTTATTAGGAGAGGGACTCAGGACCATGGACAGCCACGATTAGGCCTTGAAGTGGGCAAAAATGGGAAGAGACAGCAGCTATGTAGTGTGATTGGGTCCTGGAGGGAGAGGCAGACCCTTCAGTTCCTGGAATGCGAGGAGAGCTAATAGATCATGGTTGTAGGCACTTAACTTTTCCACTTTATGTTTTCCAGAGGGGAGAGAGGGGGGCCTTTTCTTATTTATTTTGTGTCTGTGTGCATATATGTATGTGCATGCGTGTATCATGGCATGCATGTGGAAGACAGAGGACAACCCACAGGAGTTGGTTCTCTCCTCCCACTATGTAGATTCTGGGGATCTAACTCAGGTCATCAGCCTTGACAGCAAGCACCTTTACCTGCTGAACTATCTCGTAGGCCCAAGAGAGTCTTCTTTCAAATCCTGAAAAAAGGGAATTTCTGACTCATATGTTTCTCAGGACAATGGACAAACTTCATACTGCATTACCACCTGATTAGCTTTCTTAACAATTCTCTGTCAGAGACAGAGAAAGAGAGACCTGATTTCTAGGAAAGAGGTATCTGGAAGGTCTGTTATCTAATAATAAATGTTAAAACAGTATCTGACCTTATAAAGATACTTTGATATAAACACAAATAAACAACATTAGACTTATGCATATGGTGGGGATACAGGCAAAGATCACAGCAGAGCTTTCTCCATAGAAGCCCCTCTTTGTGGTTTTCATTCTATGTTGTCTTAATGATGGTTCTTACAACACCTCCATGGTCCAATCAGTACTTGGGAAGTCCACAACCTTCTTCAGCCACCATCCCACAGGCTAGAGAGATGTGTTCAGGTGTATCTCCAAACTAGGCAGGGTGGCTCCCAACATGAAGAAACGAGGCATATTTTACATTTTATATATGTAGTATATGCTGCTTCCACAGCCACCAATCTTAGGGTCTACTGTACATAGTCACAGACTAGAGAGGTGGGTTCATACTATATGTGTCTCCAAAACAGTTAGGCATGGTGGCCTCTAACGGAGGTTTTGTGGTGTATAACATGAGGAAACAAGTCACATCCAGCCTAGAGCCCCTGGAGCATAGTACATGTAGTGCTTGTCTGCTCCTCCCACAGCATGAAGAAGGGGAGGAATGTGCAGACATGTGAGCAAGGGCAGAGTTGGGAACTGGAGAAGGACACATCTGGGATGAGTTTATGGAGGAACCACTGCTGGGCTTATCAACTCTCTAGAGATAAGTTGAAACTTCCAACATGTTGCAGGATGCTGTGGTCTATGAATACAAAAGGTGGTTAGTAGACCTATATCACAGAGCAGTGGAGTAGCTCAGGGGGCAGAGCCTCTGGTTTCTAGTGGGTAAGTTCTCTGGTTCAAGTCCTGGTGTTTCGTTTTCCTCCTAAGAGAAGTTGCTGTTCATATTCAGATCTACTTTTCTTTAATTCATTCCAATTCTTCTGGGCTTTTCCAAGGTGGAATGGTGTATTAATTACTTTTTTGTTGCTGTGATAGAAACACTGACCAAAGCAACTTATAAAAGGAAGAGTTTATTTGAGCTTACAGTTCCAGGGGAATTACAGTCCGTCATGGTGGGGAGGCATGGTGGCAGAAGTGACTGGAGGTGGAGCGGAAGTTAGGCTCTACGTTTTCAAGCAGGCACAGGAAGCAAGAGAACAACTCCAGATCTGGCAAGGCTTCAGAACTCTCTAAGCTACCCCCAGTGATATGCTTTCTCCAGCATTTCTCGCCTTCTAAAACCTCCCAAAACAGCGCTACCAACTGGGGACAAAATGTCCAAATACTTGGAGCCTATGGGGGACATTTTCATTCAAACCACCACAAGTGGATAGCTATGGAAAGATCTAGCATCCCAGGAAGGCGTCAACACAGGGGTCACCATGTAGTTCATCCAGGTCACAGTCACTCCTGTTGTGGTGCAGGTGTCCTCCCAGAAGATGACCCACTCTGGGACTCACTCACTGCAGGAAGTCCAGCCTAGAAGAGGCCTGCGGGGTTGAGGAGCCTGATGCTTCCTCTGAAGACTCGTCTTTCTTTCTCCTCTGCAGGAAGCTCCTCCTCACTCCCTGGGTGGGGTGCTCCTTTATCACTGTCCCACTGGCCTCCCACTGCTTCCATGAAAATGTTATGGTTTCTGGGTTTGTCTCCTACTTGGACAAAGTCTCTTTGGGGAATGAGGACAGTGTTTTACATTTTTCTGTGCATTCACATGGATAACAGGGATGTAAAAAGTTCAGTATTTGCTGAATGAATGAATAACAAAGTGGGAAATAATGTGCTCCGTTATGAGCCCTTGGACTGTGAGCCACCTGAAGATGCAAATGCAGGAACTGGAGAGATGGCTCAGTGGTTAAGAGCACTGGCTGCTCTTGTAGAGAACCTGGGTTCAGGTCTCAGTAACTCGGCCCACATCCATCTCTGTAACTCCAGCTTCCAGCTTCAGGAGATCTGGCGCCCTCTCTGGCCCCTGTGGGCACTGCACTCACATACAGATATGCCGGCAAAAACACATAAAATAAAAAGAAATAAAACTTAAAAAAAAGATGCAAAGGCAGGACCCAAACCCTTCAGTCGGCAGAGGCTGCAGATCCCAGGGTTGGTTTTCCTACCGCTGGGTTTCCACTCATCCTTTCTTTTAGACCTCAGCTTTCCCTCCTTCCTGATTGGACACAAGGCTGTCTCCTTACTAACTGTTCACCACTTGTGAGGCCTGAGGCTGTTCCCTAGGAGACGCTTCTCCTCACACTGCTGGTGCTGATGCCCAGCCGCCACTATGAGTGACCGCCTAGGTCTTCTGCTGCACAGCCTGCTCCCCCTCTGTGGAGTTCTTCTGTACTTTCATCCTCATAGGTTCTTGCTGCAGTGCTTGGTAGTCCATCCTGTTGCTCGTGAGAGAGAACCAGAGGACTCCAATGGCACTCAGTGCAGAAGTCAGCATATCCCCACCCTTTGGACTGGGTGAGCACAGGAGAGGCTGCTGGGGACTCCAAAGCAGAGGCCTGTGGGAGAAGGAAAGAAGAAAGTGACCTAAGAGGGAGAAGTGGTCTGTGGAGGGAGAGAGGGAAAGAGAGAAGGAGGGGGGGAGAGACAGAGAGAGGGAGAGAGGGAGAGAGGGGGGAGAGAGAGACAGAGAGAGGGAGAGAGAGGGAGAGAGGGGGGAGAGCAAGAGTGAGAGCGAGAGAGAGAGAGAGAGAGAGAGAGAGAGAGAGAGAGAGAGAGAGAGAACAATTACTCCAGCTGGGTGAGCTTCCCTCAAGTTGTGCAGTGGTATCTAGGGATGTAGCAGTTATGATTGGTCTCTTATGCTGCGGTAGGCTTTTCTGTCTTTTGGTCAGCTCTTTCAGGTACCCTCACCCATGCTCCTGTAAGCAGCCCCACTAAGTAAACTTACTGACACACTAACCTAGACTTAGATGGAATAATTTCTTTGGTCTGTTGTTGGTGCTCTGTCTGGGGTGAATACCTATTTATTCGCATCTCCCAGGATAAGTCATACAATCGTTGTAGTTAAACCAAATATTGTCCCAGGAGGCTCAGGCCCGACTCTGTCATCATATGCGTTGGGAAAGATAACTCAGTCATGAAGATTTTCTGTCGTAGGTCCAGTCTTGACTCAGGCATCTGCCCGCTCCTGGGGACTGACAGCTGGGAGAACTGAGGCTGCAGGGCTTCCCTTGCTACATAGTAGGGTGATGAATTTCCTCTGACCTGGCTTGGAGCTTCTGAGATTTCCTTTCCGAAGTGGCAATACATAGGTTACAAGTGGTGTGGGTGTGGCTCCAGGATTAAAGGTGTTTATTAAGCATCATGCTGACAGGTGGGGGTATAGCTCAGGGGTAGAGCATTTGACTACAGCTCAAGAGGTCCCTGGTCCAAATCCAGGTGCACCCTACTCATTTGTAGTTTTGACTTCCTTAGTTGACACCAGGGTAGAAAAAACATTTCTTTCTGAACCACTGAATGGTGGGCCTTTATTATGGTGAATCTTTACATCAAATATATGTTAGACTTACCTGAAGAGTCTATAAAAGTGACATTTCCCTGGCCCCACCCCAGATTAAATCAGAACATTTGTGGTGGGACCCAGCACAATAAAATCTTCCCAGTGGCTTCTAGACTTCAGTTGAGAACCAGCTTTGCAGAACTTTCTGGAATCATCCTCTGCCCAGGTTACCTCATCCCAGCTCTGTCTCCCCAGCATCTGTGCTCTGGACCTTTGCTTGTGTCTACACCATCTGTACATGCAATGTGCTTAAATGAACATCTCTTTTCCTTCTTTTAAGATTATTTTTGACACTGTTGTACTTGTCTACAATGTATTTGGATCATATTCCCTCCCATAACCCTCTCTTGTCCTCCTCTTCCTCCTGCTGACCTTCCTCTTCCCAACTACTGCTTGAACTTTGATGTCTTTTTTTGTGCAGAAGGGTTTCTAGTCATGTTCTGAACTGGAGCAGTGGAAACCAGTCTTGTCTTGGGCCGAAGCAGTTTAAAGTTCCAGAACCAAAAGTGTGGTTCTAGAACAGAAAACCAGATAAAATAGTAACATTAATGGTTGAAACCAAGATGTAGAAACATCAGCTAATGAATGTTATAGAAACTGAAAATGATGGAGGGACAAAATTCAAGAACATTTCTCATAATGGAAGATGCAGAGAAAATTCTGCAGGTGCTCAATACGATGGATAGAAAGTGATCCCTACTAAGTGATCCTTACCTTCAAGTGTACATCAAAGAATTCTAAGACTAAAAGGAAGATCTTAAAAACTTGAGAATAAAAATAACAGGTGCTACACACAGGGAGTGACAAACATACTTAGCTTTTCAACAGCAATACTAGACACTGGCATCAATAAGGAACAGACTTTACAACTGGGCATGGTGGCACATGCTTTTAATCCCTGCATTTGGGAGGCAGAGGCAGGTGGATTCTGTGAGATTGAGGCCACCCTGGTCTACCTAATGAGATCCAGTCTAGCTGGTGCTATAGAGAGACCGACCTTCCTTTCTTCCTTCCTTTCTTCCTTCCTTCCTTCCTTCCTTCCTTCCTTCCTTCCTTCCTTCCTTCCTTCCTTCCTTCCTTCCTTCCTTCCTTCCTTCCTTCCTTCCTTCCTTCCTTCCTTCCTTCCTTCCTTCCTTCCTTCCTTCCTTCCTTCCTTCCTTCCTTCCTTCCTTCCTTCCTTCCTTCCTTCCTTCCTTCCTTCCTTCCTTCCTTCCTTCCTTCCTTCCTTCCTCCCTCCCTCCCTCCCTCATTCTCTCCCTCTCTCTCTGGCAGGTTTTATGGTTTTATTTAAGCACATATAACGGGAGCATGCGAGCCATCTATTCATTTTCTTCACTGCACAGCCTGACGATGGGGTTGGTGACTCATGGCCAGCTGTGCTGCTCTTTCAACAATGGCTTTGTAGTTCTTGGAGGATGCGTTGTGCGCCTCCTCAGCACAGTAAGATTTGTTGCACCTCAGGAGTACTTCCAGCTCCTTGACATTGTGGACTGGGAACTTCCGGAAGCCACTGGGCAGCATGTGCTTTGTTTTTTTGTTGCTCCCATACCCAATGCTGGGCATCAGGATCTGACCCTTGAATCTTCTCTGTGTCCTGTTGTCAATACCTCTGGGTTTCCGCCAGTTTCGCTTAATTTTGACGTGGCGTATCAGTCAGACTTGCCGGATGAACTTTGTGGTCCTCTTTTGGATGATCTGAGGTCTGAGGGCAGCCATGATGCTGCGCAGGAGATGGAAGCCACCTCGCAGGCAGCACTGAGGAAGAAGGAGACCTTGTTTCAGAAAAAAACAAATGCACAAACAAAAAATTAAAAAACCCACATTTTACATAAGAAGAAATATTCGTACCTAAATATATCTGTCCAGATATATCCAGTGTATGGATAAAATTAGGTATACAAAGGATTAGAAAATTTCTTTCTATTTACAACCACCTTTAACTCCACCACCAAGGGATCCAACATCCTCTTCTGGCCTCTTTAGGCACCCATAATGCATGCTTGTGCGTGCGTGTGCACACCCACACCCACACACACACTACTATAAATATTGAAAGAAAGAAACATTCAGGACTTGGAATCCAGGAAAGAGGGCTGTCCACATAGGAAGAAGTGGAAAGAAAGACTGTCTGGGTGAGGGTGAAGGAAGCCACAGGGTATTGACTGTACAGCAGGCTTATGGGAAACAACCTGACAGAGGAAGCAGGAACCTGGGTCACAACTGGAAAACAGAAAGTGGGACTGTTAATTATATGATGCTCTCCTATGTGGAAAACTGTTCTGAAAGATGTTTTTGATATTTATTTTATTCATTTTTAATATTTTGAATTTATTTTTATTTTATGTGTATGAGTGCTTTGGGTGTATGTATTTAAGTATACCACATGCATGCAGTGCCTGTGGAGGCCAGAAGAGGGTACCAGATCCCCTGGAACTGGAGTTATAGAAGTTGTGAACTTCCCAGTGTGGGTGTTGGGAACTGAATTTGGGCCCTCTGCAAGAGCAGTCAGTTCTCTTAACTGCTGAGCCATCTTTCCAGCCCCTCTTAGTAATCTTTTAAAACAATACTTGACTTTCAAAAATAATTGTGCAAGATACTTTGATAAAAAACATAGTATTAGCCGGGCATGGTGGCACACGCCTTTAATCCCAGCACTTGGGAGGCAGGCAGATCTCTGTGAGTTCAGGGCCAGCCTGGTCTATATAGTGAGTTCCAGGACAGCTGGGGCTACAGGGAGACCCTGTCTCAAAACGACCAAAACAAAACAAAACAAAACAAAAAATGTTAAGTTCGTGTCTTGGTGCTAGAGCTGAAGGTCAGAGTAGAGCCCATGACTCCGCCATTCTGTGGCCTCCACACAGAGTCCGTGTGGCATCGTGCTCTGTTGTCTGCATGCTTCTCAGTAGTCCTCAATGACTCAGTCAGGCCTGGAGAGATGTCTTCACCATCTTCCTGGCTCTTAGCCTCAGGGTCTCATACACAGATCCACATGCTGGAGGAATGTCTTCAGATATGGGTGCTGCATATGTCCCAAAAGAGGTTAGGCAGAGTCTCTTCACACTGAGGTTTTGTGAGTGTGACTGAGGAAGTCAGATGTGCAAATCTAAAGCCTCTTGTAGTGATGTGTGTCCCTGTGTCTCCAGCTCTGCAGTTCCCACAGGCTGAGAAATGGAGAAGTTTCAACACATGAACAGGGCAAGGGCTGGAGACGCAGGGGACTGGAAAAGCCTTTCTGGGCTGAGTTTGCAGAGGCAACAGTGCTGGTCTTAGCAACTCTTAACTTTAGAGACTTACAGTATGTTGTGGGAATGTTGAATGCACCTATGAAGGTGAAGGGCTTATAACAGGGAGGAGGTATAGCTTAGGAGTAGAGCATTTGTGTAGATCAAGAGGTCCCTGGTTCAAATTCAGGTGCCCCTTACCATGAGTTTATCATTCACTCACAGGAGGAACTGTTTACATTCAGTTCTGCCTTTCTCCCATTCATTCCCACAGTAGGGCTGGAAGCTACAGGCCAGCCCTTGAACTCCTGTCATAAGGACAGATAACTGCCTCCTGTCTCTTCCCGAACTCTGAATATCTGGTTACCTGCCTTTCTCTCTCTCTCTCTCTCTCTCTCTCTCTCTCTCTCGTTCTATTATTAATTTGAATTTTATTTTTATTTATATGTATTAAATACACATAAAATACACCATCTGTGAAGGTATGCCACATGTGTATGGGTGACCTTGGGCAGAAGAGAGCACTGGACACCTTGGAGCTGTTGTTACATGCAATTGTGAGATGCAGATGTGGGTGCTGGGAACCAAACTCAGTTCCTCTGCAAGAGCAGCACATATACTTAACTGCCAAGTCATCTCTCTAGCCTTCTACTAGATTCTTAAAGAGAAGACAGAGGCTATGGTGGAGAGTTATTCTGGGCTTTTAAAGGGCAGAGCGCTTACAGGGACAGCCAGCATTCTAGGAACAGACAGCAACAGCTAACCCTAAAGTTATCTCCCTACCCCTCCTTTCCTCTGAAGGTGTTTGGTGTACTGGTGGTCAGACCTAGGGAGACAAATTACAGAATCTGGCTCTCTGCAGGGTAGATATTTCCCATGTGAGCCGCTTTCTTCAGGCCAGAGTTCTCTACACACTTGCTTCATTCTCAAAGCAGCTTGGCCCAGCTGCTCTATCAGGGCAGAGAGGGATTCTGCAGTTTTGCTACTGAAAATGTCAACTCTGGCACTATGACTGCATCTGAGTGACAGACCAGTGTCTTCACAGGAGGAGAGGTAAGTCTGGGAGCCCAAGTAGAAGACAGCTCATGAGCTAAGCCAGGGCACAGCAATGTGGAATGGACTTGGGATCTACAATAGGTTTCTCTCCTTTTCCTTGGTTGATGATCCTATTCAAGGATGTGTCAGGAAAGCTATGAAACTTAGGACGATCTCTCACCAGTCAGGTCTGGCAGCTTCTAGAAAGCAGAGACCTGTAATTTATCTTTGTAGACTATCACCACACAGATGAAGGCTTTTAAGTAGGAACATTGGTACCACTGGGGGTATAGCTCAGGGGTAGAGCATTTGACTGCAGATCAAGAGGTCCCTGGTTCAAATCCAGGTGCCCCCTTTCCATGTGATTTTGGTAAGTAACTTACTATATTCAAAGTAAATAGCTGCTTTCTCTCTTGTCTCCTTGACACTTCTGGCCCACTAGGTTCCCCTGTCACACAGTGTGCACAACAAGGTTACAGGTAGCTTGGAATTCACACAGGGAGAGCACAGCTCTATCATGGTCCATCAGCTCCCTCACCAGTGTAAGGTATGTGACAGCTAGCTGCATGAATCCCTTGGATCTCAAATACATCAGATCACCAACTCCAGCAATTTTAGAAGGTAGAACAAGT